GTCCCTCAACTCTAAGCTTTCCTGGGAAACGGGGCTAAGCCTTGGGAGGTGGTCACACAGGTCCTGCCTCTGGAGGTTCTCTTCAGCCTCCAAAGAGAGGATAGTCAGTTCTCTGTGCACTTACCAAGCACCAGGCACTGTGCGTGGTGACGGACAGGCCTTGATTTATTTAATACTCAACCACAACCCATGGAACATTTTCCCCCTTTCACAAGGGCTGGCTCAGGAGTTAAGTGCCTCACAAGTGTCACCCCACTGGGAAGGGCCAAACCTGAAGTTACCTTCAGGTTTCCAGAGCTCTGCCCACCTTCTGGGCTGCCTTCCTCAAGGGGCTAGAATTGCAACCTTTCAATCCTGTCCAGCTCACACCCCAGGTGATTGTATTCAGCTGTGAATCCACTTTTCCCTGAGCAGTTTGTTGTTCTTGTTATTTGCCGTCGAGTCAGCCCCGACTCATAGCGACCCCTCTTTGGGTTTCCGAGGCAGTATCATTATGGAAGTAGGATTGCCCAACCTACTTCCGAGGAGTGGCTGGTGGATTTGAACCACCAGCCTTCTGGTTAGCAGTCAAGTGCCTTAGGCACTATGCTACCAGAGCTCCCCTGAGCAGTTTAGGGTCTTAATAAAAGCCACTAATTTGCAGAGGCCTATCACAGGCTTCCCAACACCTGTCATATATCATTTGTCATACTGTGGTGGCTTGCATGTTGCTATGATGCTGGAAGCTAGACCATCAGTGTTTCAAATCCCAGCAGGGTTACCCGTGGTAGACAGGCTTCAGAGGAGCTTCCAGCCTAAGAGAGACTAGAAAGCAATGGCTGGTGATCTACTTTAAAGATTAGCCAGCAAAACCCCATGGATCACAACAGAATATTGTTCTACATGGTGCTGGGAGATGTGCTCCCTCATTGGAAGCTCCAAGTACACAGTGGTGCAAAACCAGGGACTCAAGCAGGATGATGAGGAGGACTTGGCAAGGTTTTGTTCTTTTATACATGAGGGTCACCAAAAGTTGGAGGTGACTTGACGACAACTAATAACATCACAGTTTTCAGGGATTTGGGGCAGAGAAATAAAGAAGGCAGTTGTCTCTATAGGACCTTACTGTATTAACCTCGTCTCCTGCAGAGAGCCCAGCCTGGTGTGGGAAGGGTCAGATCTAGGCTCACACTTTGCTGCATACTAGTCCTTCCTCTGTTTTCTCCAAGGACAGCTGGACTAAGAGTCAAGGAGAAGTGGAAGGTGATCCATCCTATTTCTTCCTTTGCCAAGAGGCTCCTGAGCCATGCTTGCCTTCTAGGCGCAGAGCAGACTGGAGACATTTTCTACCAGCTCTTAGGGATGACTGTCAGTGGCCCTGTCCTGTTGTTGGAAGAGGACCCCAAGGCTAGTCTTCATTGCTGAGGCTCAGGGGGACCTAAAGGGAAGGGAAGTAGGCAGCACCAGCTCCCTTGTAGAAAAGTCCCCCTGAAATAGCCAGACTGATTTTCTGCCATTTACTCCCAAGTTCCTGAATGACAACAAGGCTACAGGTGTGCCCACCAAGGAAGTCATAGATCTTCCCAGGCACCCTGGGTTTCCTGGCTGAAAATACTTGGATTTTTTTAATTGTACAGGTTAAAAGGTGAAACTTGCCCTTTTTCATACAGTTCCATGGAATTAGGCCTTAGTCCCTAAGGCCTGGGACACCATTACCTTTGTACGACTTTCACAAATTGATAAAGAGAAGGGCTGTGACCTTGGTTATATGACTGCCTACTAAATACCTGTGCTAGGTAGCTGGCACAAGTATTGCTTGCCATTTCTTGACCAATTCTTGGCAGAGCACTTTGGCCAATTTATGGTAGTCTTCTTTGTCACTTTCAGCCAGCACCTGCACTGCCCCTATTTTCCTTTAACATGGTGCACTCTTATAAGGGCCCCTT